GCAGTAAGAACATTTGGAGAGGGCTCATTGGTTCCAGGTGAGCTTGCTGGGTTGCCTAGCGATCTGGCTGAGAGACAGCCGTGCCCCCACAAGACCAAAGAGATTGCAATGGAAATAACCCTTGTTTATTCTTTCTCTTTTGTTGTCATTGATTTTGTTTTTCTTTCATGATGAAACAGGCATAGTTCACAACAGTGATTATTTGGCCTGTTTCAAATCATGGTGTTCCCTAAAGCACAGCAAAGAACACCATGTGACTAAAATAGTGGGAGTCACTTTCCTGAATGGGCATTAAGAGAGACAATTATCAAGATTGGGCCCCTAATAAAGAGGAACTCCATTAGTCTGGAGTTCTTTGTGAAAGTGCTGAAGGGGATTGGTCACAGCCCTTGAAAAAAACCCTGTGCTAAAGCATATTATGTAATATTAAAAATGCTTCTCTGGCTCTCAGGCTCCATTTAATACAACAAAAGATTTTATTCAAAATGTATTGGACACCACAGAGATTGCCCAAGATAAAGGCCTTATCCTCTGATGTTAGTTGGCCCTGTAACAAAGAAAAAGGAACCCAGGTTCTTAAAGGCTCCAATGATTATCAAGTGCATATGTTTTACAAAATTGTTTGGGTAGGCTTATGCCCAGAACACAGCAGTGGCATTAGGACATGGCCGAGTAATTGCCAAAGAAAGAATAGGTTATCGCTACTGTTAGTACATAGGCTTCTTTGTCAGCCTAAGATAGAATTTTGGGTTTGACTTTTTGATACTCTTATATCTTATACTAATGTGTGAAAAAAGGACAAAGACACTGTGTATGTTGCTTCTACCTGGTCAGACGGGTTTGTTAGTATAATGGGAAGACATAAGGGATAGAACTACAGGATGTGGTGGGAGTGTAATTGAAAGGCTGCCTGGCTTCTTTCTCAAGCCAAGGTCAAGCAACCACTTAGGAGGGGAATGGGGGTGGGGGGGGAAGGCAGGGCCAGTGCTACCATTTCGGCAAACTAGGCGGTTGCCTAGGGCGCCAAGATTTGGGGGCGCCAAAAAGCGGTGCCCCCAGTTTTTTTTTACAGCGTTCCTACGCTCTCTCCCCGAGCGTTCGGTCGCCGCTCCACTTCTCCCACCTCCCAGGCTTGCAGCACCAATCAGCTGTTTGGTACCGCAAGCCGGAGGGGAGGAGAATTAGAGCGGGGGCGGCGTGCTCGGGGATGAGGCGGAGCAGAGATGAGCTGGGGTGGGGAGCTGCCACACGGCTCCCCGGGGGGGAGGAGCTACCGTGGGGGGGGGCACCTCAGGGCAGGGGGGTGGAACTCCCACGGGGGGTGTGCCTCAGGGCAGAGCAGGGGCGGGGAGCTGCCGCAGGGCGGTGGGCGCTCAAGATGGAAGTTTCACCTAAGGCGCAAAACTTCCTTGCACCGGCCCTGGGGAGAGGCATAAGAAACACTAAAAGCCAAAGAAAAGCCTGGCCTTGGCCAGAACACAACCTCACTCCTTACCCCTCCCATGGGATACAAAAGAGGTGTGATGAAGACCCCAGATGCACGACCCTCCAAAACGGAACATGACCATAAGTTGTAAGGGGTGTGAGTAGGGGCGTGCACTGCAGGTATATTTGGGCCTGCTAAGAAGGAGGAGGGGGGAATAGGGAACAGGGAGACAAGCAAGGCTCTGAGGAGTCAGAGCTGGGAAGGGGGACAAGGCGTAAACGCTCTGCAGCATCCAAGCTGGGAACAGAACACTGGGAAACAGACTCTGCTGGCATGTAGAACTATGGATATGCTTGCTTGGAACTAACCCCAATAAGCATCACATTGCCTGCCCTTCAGACTTCTGGTCTTCTGCTTTCTGTCTGAATGACAAAAACCAGGGCAGGGAGGGGAGGGAAAGTCCTCCAACAGCCACAGAGATCAATTATATGAAGTTGAAGAAATTTGGACCCTGTTTCTAGATACATTTGGATAAAAATGTTGAGATAACTCAAATAATGCCATGCTTCCATTCAAACTTACCCCTCTGCTTTTTTACTCACCACCAGTTCCCTCCCTCCCTCTATTCATGTATGCCTTCTCTTATTGTATTACTGTTACTCACACCCTAACATGTTATGTCTATGTAGCATTGCCTGGATTTGTTGTGTCTAGTCTTGCAACTTTGACAAATTGTAAAATTGTGTAATTGCATAATTTTATTGGAGATCCTGTGAAGCATGCCATATTTGGAAACACACACAGGTGTAAATCATTTACCTTTTTGAATCTTTCATTGTCTACTTCTTTACATAAATCAGTCACACACACAAGATTTAGCCCCAGTCGTTTCTTGGTTCTCTGGACAACATTTTTTAACAGTTTTTAGAATAAAAGTACTTGGTTCCCAACATCTTGAAAAAACCCTTTCTACCCAATATGGCCATGCCGCCCTTCTCCGTCCTTATCAGAGACATTATCTCTCCCCCTTCCATGCTCCTCCCTGTCTCCTCTCCTCCTGGCTCACCTCACAATCCAGTGTTCCCTTGTAGATGTGGAGAAGGTACAAGATCACATGTCTGATTTCGGTCAATAAGATAGACACCTTCCTGTGCAAAAGCAGAGCTAAACTTTAATGGTGTTTAATGGGCAGGTGCTGGTGTTGGGGGTTGGGCAGGGACAGGTGCTTGTTTAGTTGCAGCAGAAGAACTTCACATCATTGAGCGCTGTGTCATCCCCAACTCCCTGGGATTCCTCCACCTTCGTCTGGAGCCCACAAATGCCCCCAGAGCTGCAACGATTGCTCCATGGGCCAAAATCACCCCAGGAATGTGCAGTGCCCACCATCTTGGCCCCATCTGAGCATGCAAACTCAATGTTGTTGGCCGCCGTGTCATCGCCCAATCCCTGGGACGGTTCCACTCTCAGTGAGAAGGAGATCAGGTCGCCCTCGGTGCACCTTTGGACCTCAGTCCAATCGCCCCACCTGCCAAAGAAGAAAATAATTACCTGAGACTTACTCAGGATCTGCTACCCACCACGGGGCACCAGTCATCCTAGCTACTGTGCACCAAGACCAGTGTTCATAGGACACACAGCAGTGACCTGAAAACAGGCCTGGAAGAACCTGGGGTATTCTGTTTTCTTTTTCTTGAGTAGTGTTTTTTCTTGCTTGTATTTAACCTCAGAAATATCAGACGTGTCAAGCCTGGTCTTCCCTGGTTTTGCTGGAGGACTTCCTTGGGGACTCAGGAGATGAGCCTTGAGTGACAATTTGGGGAAATGTGTGTAGAACTTATCAGTTCTGGTTGATATTACTGAGTTATGATGAAATGTTACTATGAAAAACTGCTGTATCATAAATGCCTCTCTGTATGTAGATCCATCACTGCTGACAGGACACGCACCAAATATTCTCCAGACTGAAGACAACGGGGAGGTACTTAATGTTAATGACAATGTTTTGACCATGCAAAAGTTATGCAAAAGAGTACCTGCATTCCAATGCAAAAAATACTTCCTCCGCCGTCTGAGGGGAGGGTTTTTTTTGTTTGTTTTTTTTTGAGCTATGGAAAGTTACCAAACACAGAACTAAAAAACCAGCTAGGTGACCAGGACTCAGGAGGTATTTAAAGATGGGGAAAAAATCAGACAGGAAGAGGAATCAATGGGCAGGAAAGAGCAAGATCAGAGAAGCAGGGGAAGGGAACTCCATGAATGAGAAGTCCTCTGGCATGTGATACATGCTGACCCCAAATAAAACAAGGAGAGAGGACAGGATGGGATGATGGATGAAAATGTTTTGTTCGAATCAGGAAGTATGAGGAGTAGGGTTGGTAACTAACCACATCAGAAGGGTAATACATTTATATAAGTGTATGAAAGAGTGGTTTCAAAGGGGGTGTCTGTCTGGCCTAGGGGGAAACGGAAAGTCACGTCACTTACTGAGCTGATCCGTTGTCATGGGCATACATATATTAGTGTTCCTGTAGAGTCTATGGGGTACTAGTACCGTGCTTTGTTGACAGTAAACCTGGCCGAGTGCCTTCACCACTGAACCGAGTCTTTGGTCTTCTTGGGCAGTTCGATCGAGGCCTGCTGCACCAGCTACCTGGCCAGAGCCAGTGCAATTCACAGAGCCAAGAACTGACAACAATGTCAATGGCAAAATCCCACTCATTCCAGTAGGGCCAGGATTTCACCCAAAGAATATGAAAGGAAGTAGCTAAAAATTTCTTTTCCCACCCGCCAATTGCTGTAGATTTCACACTGGACTCTGGGGTCGGTATAGTTTCACTGGTTCTCTCGGTCCTTCACAGCAACTTCCAGGGCACACAAGATCTGAATTTTAACATGAAATGGCCAGCTGTGTCCATCATTAAGAAGCAGAAACAGCCAATGCCCTATTTCAATTTTCCTTTGCAGATTACCTCCAAACAGAGGGAATAGTCCGAGAAGAGACCCTGTGCAAATGGCATTGTTCATGGTTATTCTCTCTGCACTTGCAGAGCAGGAGGGATGGGAGAGAAACCAAAGAGCTACTCACGGCCCCACCGTGGACTCGATGACAGAGCCGTCAGTGCAGTACAGGCGAATGCCATTCAAAGCCGTGTCATCATATATTATCCCAGCGCCTTGTTCAGGCTCCACCTAGGAGAGGGGTACAGGAGATGGTGGCACAGGTACAGATTGGGAAGAGATGTGTTAGGAATCCCACCCCCAAGCCAATAAACCAGGGATTGGCAACCTTCAGCACATGGCCCCACAGGGGAAGCTGCTGGCCGGTCAGGCCGGTTTGTTTATCTGCAGCGTCTGCAGGTTCAGCCGATCGCAGCTCCCACTGGCCACAGTTCACTGTTCCAAGCCAATGGGGGCTGTGGGAAACAGCGTCCAGCACATCTCTTGGCCCATGCCATTTCCCGCAGCCCCCATTGGCCAGGAATGGTGAACCGCAGGTAAACAAACCGGCCCGACCTGCCAGCATCTTTCCCTGACGGGCCGCGTGCCAAAAGTTGCTGATCCCTGAAATAAACCCTCCCAACTACCTGTTATTAAATTAACTGCATTTTTTAAAAGAAAGGAAAATGTCCAGCAATGCAGGTCTCTCTCTCTTTCACACACACACACACACACACACACACACACACACACACACACACACGACGTAGTACTCCT